GACTGGGATTCAAACCCAGACACCTGACCACAGAGACCACAGCTATCCTATATTACATGATACCCCAAAGTGAAGCCATTCTACTGGAGAAGCTAATCAAGTGATTTAAAAATGTTAAATGCAGGGCGCCTGGGTTGCTCAGTCGGTTAAGCGACTGCCTTCAGCTCAGGTCATGATCTCAGGGTCCTGGGATCGAGCCCTGCATCGGGCTCCCTGCTCGGTGGGAAGCCTGCTTCTCCCTCTCCCACTCTCCCTGCTTGTGTTCCCTCTCTCACTGTCTCTCTGTCAAATAAATAAATAAAATCTTTTAAAAAAAAAAGTTAAATGCAAATGGAACCAGTTCCGTGGACGGCTGTGACATCCCCAGCTGCACCTTACCCACGGCACAAACTGTGTTGTAACTCTTGCTTATGTTGGGACCATGGAAGGCTCATGGTGGGGAAAATCACTGTAACACAACAGCGGACTTACTTTATACCCAACCCAAACAGTGCGTAAAGACCCATTTGACCCATCACCCAGGATGCTAAAAACCGACAGCAAACACTGGGAATCAGAACAGATTGGCCTCATCCTCCCGTTATTCCAGCACCTTCTGTATGAGGGACCAGCAGGAGAGGAGAAGAATACCACTCTCGAGAGACAAGCAGGGTCTGCACTTGCAGACACGTGGGCTCAGGGCCAACTCGCTAGGGACCTGTCACTCCACGCGGCTCGGCAGGAATGGCGATTGCTCGTCAATGGAGCAAACGAGCTTTGCTCTCCCCGTGATCACTGCAAGGGCCGGGAAGACAGGAGGTATTTTGTTTTCTTATGATCCTTCAGTTCAAAATCTCTCTGATGTCAAACAGGACACACATGCCTATATTATGCCAGCACATGACGGCTTTCCATGGAGGAAAAGGGGAAAAACGCGGGTGCTTTAGTTCAGGTATCGTAATGATCCCTCCCCCTCTATGCTGATCGTGGTTACATGTACCTACAGAACCTTCTGTAAACCGCTGTATTCGTCTGAATGAGAAAACTTTCATAAACGATCCAAACCAAGGACAGCTTGTTCCGTTACGTCCCAAATGGACGCACTTCATCAGCACCTGATTTCTCATAAGCAAACACTTAAGAGGTGGGTACCAGCAAAAGTGAACCCTTTATATTTGTTCCAATTTTATATCCACATGGTAACGAATTTTCTTCCTGATCATGAAACTAGAAACACAAAACACATTCCACTACCACATCTACTTTTAGAATCCACCGGCATGTTAAATTCTCTTCTGTTTCAAGAAAGGGAAATAATAAATACTGGGCAATGTCCTTTAGCATCTCGTGCGATATTTATAACTTCTGTGGGAGGCGAATAATTTTATCTCCATTTTATAGAGGAGGAAACAATGCGTCCAAGAGTGTATCACTCCTTCTTATGGCTTGTCTCCTCACCTCCAGCGCAGAGACAACATCCAGCAATGTCCATCCCAGGAAGGCCTAGATTTCTACAGGAATCCTGTTCCTACACAGGACACTTGGGCCAAGACCAAGATGGCCATCCTCTACGGAGAACGGCAGGCAATTCTTCCTTTTTTAATTCCCGTGCTTTCAGAGATGACCCAAAACAAGAGACTTGCTCATTTCCTTCCTCTTTCTAAGAAATGAGGTAAATAGAAAATAACCTTCCCAAAAACCTTCAGAAAAGGTTATCTACGAGAGAGTTTAACCGACACAGATGACTATTAATAAAACATAAGGCAAAAGCCTGATTTTGTGCTTCTCTGGTACGAAAAAAAAGAAAAGCAGAGAGTATTTTTAGCTCTTTCCAGCCTAAAAGGATTTGACCGGAGGATCTTCTCCAAGGCTGGTTTTCCATGCATTGATCAAAACTGACCAAGGTTATAAAAGAAGGTAAATCACTTCCTGCCCAGAGAGCCTACAACATAAACGAAGGGTACATTCCACACACAGCCAGTCCTCAGCAGTGGTCTGATCTGGATTTCTATTGCTCAACTCCCTTGCGACGACGTTCCTTCTGATTCCAACAAAGGAAGGAGAAATGTAGGAGGTACCCAGGCCAGGAAAGAGACAAAATGGCAGCATGCAAAAACAGGACATTCTTCTAGGCAAATATGGCTCAGAAAGCACCTTATACTCCATGTGGTCTTTGCAGATCACTCAAAAGCCAGCTGTCTTGGGGATTTCTCAATAGCTCTCAATACAACTTCCCAAAAAGGCATAACTAATGCAGCCAAATGCTAATTCAGAACAATGCAGAAATAGGTGGAGTTTATTTCCCCTTCAAGGTTTACTTTCTAAACATAAATCTGGTAAGAGAGGAACAAAAAGTTATTTGCATATGTAGGCAGCCTGATTTCCACTCAAGTTTATGTTGGACTATGCATATTTGGTTAAGCTCATACTGAGAAAAGGCTGGTGCCAAACAAACTCTCAGAGAAATTTACAGACTTTTCTAAAATCAACCACTTGAGAGAATGTTGATGGCCCTTTCTGAATGTTTCTCTACAAGGGTAATCTTGAAAAAAAAAAAATGACAAAATCAAGGTTAACATCACAAATCAAACCTGCATGAAGTAAGAATGAGGTCAGTATTAACACAGAAAGAGATGTTGAAAGGTGCAAGTGCTTTCCCCAATTTCTAAATGGGTTGAGAAAGGATGACCACATTTCATAATGTATACAGATATCAAATCACTATATTGTCCACCTGAAACTAATATGATATTGCATATCAATTATTTTTCAAAGAAAAAAGGGACGACTGTACTTGACCTAGCTATTCCAATGTAGAATAAAAATAGTTCTTATTTTGCATTTCAAATCCTGCTGGACTTTTTTCCTTCAGAGATGAAGAAAATATTCTTCCTTTACAGATGGAAGGAAAAATGGAGCAAAAAAATCAAGAATTTTCAGGGTGATATCACAGGAGGATTCCCAAATCTTCAACTATTTTTGGTATGCATCTAGGTTTCAGGGGGAAAAAAAAATGAACATTCCCAATGTAAAATGAAACTATGTGTTTACTGTTCAGTTCTTCTGAATTGTCTTGAACATTATTAGTAATAATAAACTGGTCTATTAATACATAAAGTCTTTGTTAAGCTTCTTAATTAAAGCTAATTTTGATTGCTCTTCATGTTGGTCACACAGGTTAATGATAAACTAAGATGCAGCCTATTATCGAACCAATTTGTATCCATCACCTGATTTTATAAGGAGTTGATTTCAGTGGAGAAGCAGGCTTGTTGTTTCAAATATTTAAAAATGAGGGGTGCCTGGCTGGCTCAGTAGAAAGAACATGCAACTCTTAATCTCAGGGTCGGGAGTTCAAGCCCCATGTTGGATGTGGAGCCTAGTTAAAAAAAATTTTTTTTTAATTAAATATTTAAAAATGAGTAAACACGTCCCAGTTGAAAAATACTGTTGAACAATGAATGGACTTAACATCCTGCACATAAAAGTGCAAGGAGCGGTCATGATCCGAACAAAAATTAGGGTCACCTGCACGTTCCACGGTCCGTGACATAAGCTGTCCTTCCAAAGTTTTACAAAGATAAACACTACCCCCAAAATAAAAGTGAAGAGCTAAGAAAATCCTGTTACCCATAAGGAAATGGACAGCAAGGATTCAACTGTTAGCTTCTAGAATTAATTTTCCATGCCAAAAAAAATTCAACTTTGTATCCTTATCATGATGCACACTGAGTAATGTATAGAATTGTTGAATTACTATATTGTACACTTGAAATTAATAGGACACTATGTTAACGATACTGGAATTAAAATTAAAAACTTAATAAAAAATTCAACTGTATTTTCAATATATACTATACTGTTTTCCGTTCCTCTCTGAAAGATGTTTTGAAAGTCAAACACATTTACCTCTGAACTTCCACAGAAAAGAACAAAGATTAAAAAAAAAGAAGAAGCCAGAGTGTGATAGACTTACTTACTAACTCAGACTACACAAATTCCAAACCTGTAGGAATCCAGATGTTTGGAATTAACATCTGTCTCTGCAGCATGTCACCTAAGTACAAGCACTCTGATACTACTATTTACATAGACATCCAAAGGAGTCAGTGTTCTTACCCAGAAAACACTGATAGGATTATAAAGTGCTGCATATAATGTAAGGAAATGATGTAACCAAGCCAACGCTGAAACGGTTCTTTCTCCCAGCAGTAATGACCCATGTGGGCGGCCTTGTTCTGTCTGGCTCCCCCAGAATCTCCTAGAACCAATCCTGTTAAGAGAGCTGGGGTAAAGAAGGTTTAGGGCTCTGGCACGGAGCCCAACTGTGGCCAGCTTGAGGATCACATCTATAACTTTCGTCTCAACCGTGCCAAGAAAGCACAAACCACACTTTGAAGTAATCATCTTGAGAGTCTTTGAAAATGCTCTGAACTTAGACATCTCCCTAAATCACACAGACTTCTTGCAACAATGAGTACATGAGCAAGCTTTTACTTCACTGGATCCATTCAGATGAAAGCTTGGGATAAAACGACAATCAAAACTTCTCCACAGATTATCTTTAAAAGCCATTTGTGTAGCCAACATCTTCTTAAAAAGAGTACTACTTAATGGGATAATAATGCAAGTATAAATAATAACCTCACGTGTAAAGTATGTTAGCAGTGTTAGGTCCAACTACATACACACACACACACACACACGCACACTCACGCACACAGTCTCCCTTGCACGTAATTTAAATGCCAAAACCACCAGTTCTTTGTCTTGGAAAAGATGCACTACCTTTGGCAGTGTTTTCTTTTTTTTCTTTCTTTCTCTCTTTTTTAGCCAATATATTTAATAAGTCATTTCCCAGAAGGTCAATTTCTGTTTTCGAAAAACATCTGAGTCACTTGAGATGAGAAATACTTTATCTAAAAAATGCACCACAGCTCCCGATCATCCCTACCTGACATCCCAGATACTGGGCTCTTCCACAATGAGAGAACATGGGCACCAGGACCCTGATTACTTACTTGTTAAAAAAAGGTTCAACGAGTTTTGATCTGGCAGACACATGAATTTTTGGAGGGCTAAGAAAAGAACCTAATGAAGAAAAGAAGCAGAGTATTACATACAGTCAAGGAGACAAAGGCTGAAAGTTCAGACAACAAACCATGTAAATCAATAGCACGGTTCAGAAGGGTAAGGGGCACTCATAAGGGCCAAGTGCCACACCAGGTAAGGGTCAACTTGGACTTCCTATGGACTTCCTATGGACTCTGCACGCCCCACCCCAAACCCCTCCAACGCTGACCTCCAACCCTCCCACTTAGACCTGGGTGAGTGGGCCCCAGGGAAATGGTAGACAGGCAAGATCCAGCCCAGACCACGGTATGTTTGGTGGAAATACGTGTGGTGAGTACCTAGGTAGTTCGCCATGGAGATGAAGCACAGCCCTGTGATATAAGCATCATAGCCCGCCTCGTGGAGCTGTTCAGTAGCCGTGTCATAACTTGGAAAGCCTTCTGCACTTTCTAAAGAGAAAAAAGAAAAAGAGGTTCCCAAGGATATCACAAATCGTGAAGACGGGCAGGCACACTGCCCTACCAAATTGCATTGGTATATGCCACAGAAATATCCTAGACAAGCAGGCAAAGGCTATCTACTTCTTAATTGTCTCCACACAAGACCTTGCAATGTGAAATAAAAGGGTCACTGAAAATGAGGGCTCTAGAGAAATGGCTCAGTGACATCATCAAAGACCCAGCCACAGGCCTCCTCGCTGCACACTGGTAGGTACTATTTACAATCATACATAACTTGCCCTGGATGATGATCCCTCTTCTGACTGTTTTCTGAAGTCCCAAGGAGCTTCTTCCCTCATGACGTGGGACTTAAGTTTTCAGTCATGACTAATAATACCATGGATTTGTGCGTCCCACTGTCTGGGTCTGAATCTATGTTCCACCATTTATCTATGTGACCTTGGGCAAGTCACTCCCGCTCTGGGCCTCCACATTGACAAAATGGAGATGAAAACCAAACCTCCCTCATGAAACTTATAAAAGGATCAAATGAGCTAATGCAGTAAAGCTCTCACATGGTGCCGGGTACATGGTCAATGCTCAGTCACTGGTATCCATCAATACCCCAGGCAACCCTCCCAAAAGGCAAAAGATTCTCTTCAATATCGGCAGCTCAATTCAACAATGCCCTCTGCTGTTTCCAAGCTAATGGATCTAAAGATGAAGGCACAACTAACTCCAAAAATAGATCAGAATTTGCTGTCACGCTGCCTGTGGAACATGGGGCCACTTCGCAAGATAGAGCATTTTACAACATGATTCTTCCATCACACTGACACACACACATGCTGAAGACTATGTCTGGGAAGAGCGACCAGCTTTAGAGTAAATTCTCTGCCAGGTACCAGAATATTACATGGAAAGAATGGTATAAAACTATAACTCATAGGGGTGCTTGGTTTCAGCTTAGGTCATGATCTCATGGTCATGAGATGGAGCCCCGCCTCTGGCTCTGTGCTCAGCGCAGAGTCTGCTTGAGATTCTCTCTCTCTCCCTCTGCCCCTCCTGCTTGTGCTCTCTCTCTCTAAAATAAATAAATAAATCTTTAAAAAAAAACTTTTAAGGGGCGCCTGGGTGGCTCAGTTGGTTAAGCGACTGCCTTCAGCTCAGGTCATGATCCTGGAGTCCCAGGATCGAGTCCCGCATCAGGCTCCCTGCTCAGCAGGGAGTCTGCTTCTCCCTCTGATCCTCCTCCCTCTCATGCTATCTCTCATTCTTTCTCTCTCAAATAAATCAATAGAATCTTTAAAAAAAAAAAACACTTTAACTCATAAATATTTCCTAGAACCATTCTGAAAATGAGTATCAAAAACACTGTAACAGGGGCACCTGGGTGGCTCAGTCAGTTAAGTGTCTGCCTTTGGCTCAGGTCATGATCCCGTAGTCCCAGGATGGAGCCCCATGTCAGGCTCCCTGCTCCACAGGGAGTCTGCTTCTCCCTCTCGCTCTGCCCCTTCCCCCACTCCTTCTCCCTCTCCCTCTCTCTCTCTCACTCTCTCCCTAAAATAAATAAAGTCTTTAAAAAAAAAAAAACACAACAACAGAACCAAAAGTACGAATGGAAATTAACAACAAAGACTTTATTCTTATGTCAATATAAGGCTGTTTAAGCACGAATTTTTAACCTCCGTATTAAGTATTAGACTTTAAGCTTTAAAAGTCTTTTAACATGATAGCCAAGTAATATCCTCTACTCTACCACCAGCTGAAACACGTATTTCCAAAATCAATTATTTCCATCATACTGTTATAGAAAAGGTCTAGGCTTTCTTCCCTCACCCTCACTCCTCTTCTTAATTCCTTTTTTGGACTATTACCCAGAAAGGGAAGCAAATAGCTGTAATCTTGGCTGCTTTAGTACCTTCCATTGTCAATTTCTGAACCATTAGTCCAATTATCAATGTCTTCAGAAGTTTGCAGGCTGCAGCTAATGGAATGCTAATTACAGTGTCAGCAGCAAAATGAGGTGTACAGGAACCAAGGAAGTAACACGTGACAGGTTCACCGAACACCTGGGTAGGAGCGATGACCAGACATGGCAATACATCTCTGCCCCGAGAAACATTCCTCCCTACTTCTGGTTTTCCTTGCTGCTACTGTTCCACAGCTAAGCCACCTCTGTTGAGAGGCAGGGCTGGAGACTCTCCTTCCTCATCTGGAAACCCAGGTCTTGGGCTTTTCGGAGACAAAAAGTGTATTTTCATTCGACCTCTGGCAATTAATCACCAAGTCTTTGTCCCTGCTTAAACAATGCACCATAGAGAAGAAAGACACATCAAGTTTTGGGAGAATTCCAAGCATTAAGAAATAAAAGCCCTGAAGCTTTAATTGCTAAACTTCTCAATGAAGTTTAGCAATTAAAATCTACCCCAAATCTATAAACATAAAATAGACGTAGGATTATGAGACCATCTTTATTCAGAAAGCAGTAATTCAACACAGGGCGTGAGCAAGTTAACTCAGCCAAAATCTGTAAATGTGCATGATGGTGTCTAGAGCAGTTTCATCTTCCTTCTGTGAGATCCGTGATCACAAGCACTTGGGGCACTATCAGGATCACTTTATTTTCTTACCAACTTTAGGAGGGTTGAAAGGTGTCTCTTTTAACCGCTTTTCCAATTCTGCAAGGGATGTGTTGTTAATGATATCCTGCAAACCAGAAAGCAGAGAATTATGAGCTTTAATCATCTCAGTACAACACAGAGGATTCACTGAATGTCAGGACCAAAAAAAAAAAAAAAAGGGTCTATCTAGTACTGCCCCCTTGTGTTCTTTAAAGAAACTCAGGAGTCACGGTTTCTTCAACGTGAGAGACAGCAAGTGTCAGGTTCACCATGCAGAAAGTATCACCATAGGAAACATCTTTGGAGATGTGTTAAATATCTACAGAACTTGGGCCAGAAAGCTACACTGTTCTGGCATTCATTTCACTCAGTTATGTAAAGTCACTTCACAAAATAGCAAATGATTTCACTTTTACCTGAATTTTCCTAATTAGAAAATATAACCAAAATATATAAAATCAAGAAAATAATGAAGTGTGTACATGAATAACCTATTCAGAAATGCATTCTATATATATAAATATATATATACCCATATACATATATACATACATACACACACGCACATACGTATATACATATATATATATATATATATATCTTTTTTTTTTTTTTTTAGTAAGCTCTATGCTCAACTTGGGGGCTGAATATATGACCCTGAGATCAAGAGTCGCATGCTCTACTGACTGAGCCAGCCAGGCGCCCCACTCCAGCCCCCAAAAAATACATTATATATATTAATATTAAAAATATTTACATTCAAAAAGAGTACAGGAGAGAAAAAAATAATTCCAACACCCAAAGACAACCCCTAATCACATTTTAATATATTTATTATCTCTAGTCTTTTTCCAATTTTTTTTCTTTTTTGGATGCATCTGAAAATAACAAACTAGACCAGAATTCCAAGCTCCTAGTAGCGAGTCAGAACAATTCAAAACAGTTTATCAGTGACAACTCCAATTTTAAAAATACCTTAAAAGGTTGTGTGCTGGCCATCAATTTTGTATCCAAGAGTCTAAAGACAAAAGAAATGTTAACAAGGTAAACAAAATACACATCAATGTCCAGAACGTATTTTACTCGAATGAAGAGCCCGCCTCCGGTCCTAAAAGCCGGCAAGAGAATTAAGCACATGAACCAGCTGGGCCTAGCACAGGCACTCTGCGACATGAGACTGGGGCTCAGTCCTCGCAACCCCTCTCCATCAGGAGCCTATGGGGGAGGGCACACACGGCTGCACTCAGAGCACAAGCTCTAGAACTGCCTGTACCTCGACAGGGCGTGGGCTACATCCATTCCAAGGGGAAAGCAAAGATCTTCGTAAGTTTTTCTTACGAAGTTCCAATACTGCTGTAGGTCTAGTACCCCCACGCCGTTACCAACTACTGTATTACCCAGATTTGCACAAAATAAACTCCTGGAGGTCAAAATCTGCATTTGGTAGTTTCATGCAATATCAACTGTGGGAGACATGGTCAGGTAAAGGCACCAGCTTAGAGATGAGGGGAAAAATCTCCATCCAGACAGTTCTTGACTGACTACACAACACTCTTAACTGGACAGTTGACTGGGACAAGGCACGTGCGGCGTACAAGAGAGACGACAGCCAACTCAAGTAGATTGTGCCCATTCTTCAGACAGCAGGCTGTGGGGTGAGGAAAAAGCAGGTGCTGCCTATTTTCACTCTCAGTTCAAATTCTGGTTTTTATTTTATTTTATTTATTTATTTATTTATTTTTTTTTTTTTAGATTTTATTTATTTATTTGACAGAGAGAGACACAGCGAGAGAGGGAACACAAGCAGAGGGAGTGGGAGAGGGAGAAGCAGGAGCCCGATGTGGGGCTCGATCCCAGGACCCTGGGATCATGACCTGAGCCGAAGGCAGATGCTTAACGACTGAGCCACCCAGGCGCCCCTCAAATTCTGGTTTTTAATGCAATCAAAAGCAAGTGGTCACAGCTGGACCTATTAAACCATTAACCAGCTATTATCAACTGGGTTATAATCATGATCAGATAATTACTACTATTACTATTTATCACCTGTTTGTATCTTATACAGTATGAGAACTATTTTGAATGAAGGATAATGAATCCTCAAAGAAAGCTTACCTGGGGAAAACACATGTCGTCATCTCCTTAAACTCATTTAGGTCCTAACAAAAAAAAAAAGACAATGACTTGCTGCGATTTTACTAATACACTCACAATATTATAAACATACATAATATTTCAAGCTCCACAGCTCTTCTCAAACTGTGATACCTCACACAGGCCCTTTAAGCTAAACTGCCGGATTCATTACTAGTTAATAATCACCTTCCAAAAATCGTCACAATTTCCTCACTGACTGGGAATCATATGATCTGACATAAAACTTTTGCATAACCAAAACAGACAAACTTGAGCATTTTATGGCTGAAATAGAGGAAGGGGGGAAAGTTTCTATTATATGTAGAAAGCTTTCAGTAATAGCTCTATCAAATGAATCCATCATTAACAATGAGACTAGCAGAGTTATGTAGTAAATAAAATGGTTTATACAGGAAACGGACATATTGTAACCTAGGTTATACCTTTACTGAGAATATCTCTGAAATGCTAGGTAAAATGGCCATTAAAACGCAGACTTTCCAATATGCACAGTGCATGCTTTAACTACTCACAAAATTGCTAAAGAAGCACCAGTAGCAAGTGCCTAAATTAGACAATTCATTTCCCAGTTTATTTTGATCAGGAAGTCTAAAGCCGAAATGAGATGGATCTAATTTTGAATGAACTCATTTACATACATAATTGCCACACCAGACTGAGTAGTCATACTCCTGACCCTTTTTAACTACGCTTCTCTTCAGCGTTATTCATGCTTCATAGCAAACTGCCATTTCCAATTAGCTTTCCAAGCCTGTAAATACAGACTGTTATTTATGTAGTTTGGGATATTTACCAGCTTTTCAATGGCTATCGTTAAATTAATGGACAATACATGAACAAGTGGTTTCAGTGCTGAGGTCAAACAAAAATGCAATAATGACTACTGTCACCTCACAATACCATCACAAAGCCTCACCAGCAAGAAAAAATTAGAATTATGGCTACTTCCAGGGCTAGCATATAGCAGAGCTCTAGACCCATGCCTTCTAAAAGTCACACTGAAATACCAAGAAGATCCTTCAGAAGAGTCTCCCCTAAAAGACAGCTCCAAAACACGGATTCTTTAGTATACTTTTAAATGCAAAATTTGGTACCAGTGCATGTAAAAAGTTCTACCATTTTAAATATGTTTTCTCATTTATTCTCACCACTTCTTCCAAAACTAGTTGGAAGAAAACCAATTTTCTCCCCCTGACAATGGCAGAACACAAAAAAGTTCAATTACTGACTCGGGTCACCTTAGTAATAAATAAAGCAAGGGATGAAGCCATGTCTCCTAACCCACGTCCTACACCGCAACAAATCTCAAGCTCTTTCTACGAGAACTGGATTCAGAACTACAGTAGTTTCGTTCAAGGTACCATTTACTGAGTGCTTACATACAATGTGCTATGCTAGGCATTTAGACACAGACAATAAAAAGGTTACACTCCTTGTCCGAGGAGCTAATCACCTAGAAGAAGGGGACAGGGGTCAAAAAAAACTGCTCAAGAGCTACAGAGTTCTGCGGCAGTTCAGAGAAAGGAAAGATCACCTCTTGGGCAAGGCAGCAGGCAGGGAAACCTTCGTGGAAGAGGCATACGCTAGATCTTGGTAAGACAGGTAAAGCTGTACACAGGCAAATGTGGAGAAAAGCCGGAGAAAAATCAGAAAGGAGGAAATCGTATACCAAAATCACAGACAGGAAAAAACATAAAGCGGTCCCAGGAACAAATGAGCCAGTCCGGATGGGAATAAAGAGGGTCACAAGTGACTAGAAGACACAGGGCTGCTGGGCCAGATCACAGAAAGCTTGCCACGTCAGGCTAAAAAGAATCAGCCGTACAGAAAAGCAAAGAAGACGGGATTGGGTTCAGAAGTTTGAGTACTGTCAGTGATGTGAACAGAACCATATATCAGATTATAAAACTGGCACAGTCGGAAGATACTCATTTTTTAAAATCAATATTTAATGCCCCCTATGTGCCAAACTCTGTTTGGTGTTAAAAACACCTATAAACGCAGCATTTAATATACTTCCTCTTCCCTTACCAGTCACTTCCCTGGTTTAAGGCCAAAAAATCATAAGAGGAGCTGCTATGCTTTGGTCGACTTGGCCAATAGAAGCAGTTGACCTGAGGTAAACATCAGCTCTCTAGATTTGTACACTGCACATTCATATCCATCATGTTTGAGACTCACCACCATGAAGTCTTTGAGTCCCAGAGGGGGTGATACCATTGTCATGAGAAGCAATGACAGCCTTGAGGCTGCAGAAACAGGACAAGGGGAGCAAGAGACCCACTGTATTCACAGCTGGGCTTTGTTGGACTTTTCCAAAGAAAGACATCAAGATCCTGATGGAACAATGTCTCCTAAGACATGTGAAGTAGGGACGCCTGGGTGGCTCAGCCGGTTATGTGTCTGACTCTTCATTTTGGCTCAGGTCGTAATCTCAGGGCCATGAGACTGAGCCCCACGTCGGGCTCTGCACTGGGCATGGAGCCTGTTTAAGATTCTCAAAATAGAACAAATAAAGGAGGGGGAGGACATGGTGATGGGAGGCAAGCAAGATGAGCCCGTGTGCACAGTTAGGGAGCGAAAGAGGAAGAGACAGAAGAGAAACTCTTTTCCTGAAGAGCCGAAGAGGCTTGTGCCTCTGTGCCCTGAGCCAACATGGCTCTAAGAGCAAAAAAACACCAAGGTTAACGGAGAATCTAAGGGAAGCAGCCTAGCAAGAGGTCAGCAACAATTCTGAGTTTTGTAGGACCTGATCCAGTCCAGCTGACCTGAAGTACCACTCACCTTCAGTGGCCCCATTATGGCTAATGTTAGCAGCAACAAACTAGAAGACCACGCCTGTGGTCGAGAATGCCTGCCCAGCACTAAATGAGCAAACCACTGGCCTCAAGGTGAAACAGATGTCCAACTCTGCTCTGGCAATGGCAGATGACTGAAGATCCCCTACAACAGCTTGTAAGTACATCTCTTAAAAAAGGTACACCCAAGCACATGAGATGCTCTCTGGGAACGTGCTGCATACAAGGAAACAGCACTCATGTAGAGAATGCTTTCTCGGTAATAAGCAATTATGAGTTTGTCTTCTCTTTTTTTTCAAGTTTTCATTTTAATTCCAGTTAACATATAGTGTTGTATTAGTTTCAGGTGTACAATAGAGTGCTCATCACAAGTGCGCTCCTTCATCCCCATCACCTGTTCCCCCCAGCCCCCCCAGCCCCCCGCCCCTCTGGTGACCATCAGTTTGTTTTCTGGAGTTAAGAGTCTGTTTCTTGGTTTGTCTCTCTCTCTCTCTCTCCCTCTGTCTCTCTCTCTCTCTCTCACTTTTTTTCCCCTTTGCTCATTTGTTTTTTTTGGTCTTCAACTCCACATATGAGTGAAATCATATGGTATTTGTCGTTCTCTGACTGGCTTCACTTAGCATAATACGCTCTAGTTCCATCCACGTCGTTGCAAATGGCAAGAGATGGTGAATTTTTTAACACAGGCTAGCAGGCAGGTCACTTACCACAGGCAGAGGGCAGCAGAACTGATGAACAGTGTGCATGACATCCAAGAGCATGTTGTGTCCAATAACGAGTTTTCCCTAAAGAAAGTCGGGGTGAAGGAGAAGATTTCTTGGCACAAAATTATACTGGGGCTTGAGAGTGAAATGTATGGTTCAGATTCTATGAGGATTTTTTACTAAACTTAATTTTGATACTAAAAAATATACTTATGCAAATAAATAACTTAGGGCTGGCTTTATTCCTCTTTACTCTTAGAGTATTAAATCCATTATGCAAAGTAAAAGCTCCAATGACTTTGATATCATTGATCTCTGCTTTTTATTTATCTTGCCACCCTCAAGAATCAGAAGTAGTAAAATTTTTATTGAAGGGCTCAAAAAAGTAACTGAAAAGGCTAAGTACCTTGAACTGTCAATAATTTGTGAACGGGCTCCAAATACCTATTCTAGGAGTGTATTCCTAAAAACAACTCACTGATTTTTAAAAGACATATCTGTGACAACACTGAAAGGTAAAAATAATTAATTTCTAATTCTATCAAACAATGCATTCTCATTCCCTTCACATCTATGTCAAAATTGAGGGGGCATGTTCTTAAATACAACTTTCAATGCAATTTATCGCTTTTCTACCAACTGAAGTATAATATGTGTTCAGTAAATCACTCCATTGTGATAGAAAATAAACTACCAAAATGGAGCATCGACTTAGATTTAGCCAGCCAGGTGACACCATTTTTAACAGAAAGCATCTGGTCATCACAGTGGAGCTTTTGACCGCGTCCCAGTACATCCTCAGAGTGATACTTCTTGACTCACAGGGCTAAACGTAATTCTTAGAAATAAATAGTTCTATACGAAATCTTCCAAATCCAACAGACAAGCTGTCCTTTTGGCTCAGTAACACCACAGTAGTACCCAGTGCCAGATCTGGGTTTCTAAAAATCATTATCCAATAAAAGGAACCAGGGCTCCTTGGAGAACTCACGGATTCTAGAACTGAGGCAGGGAAAATACAACGTGAGTCTGAACAGCTTGTGATGCCAAAGAATGCGGAGGTGCTCAAAAAAGGGTGGGGGCCGGGGCACCACGGGGCTCAGTCGGTTAAGCATGTGACTCTTGATTTTGGCTCAGGTCATGATCTCAGGGTTGTGGGATCAAGCCCTGCATCAGGCTCTGTACTTTGGCACAGAGTCTGCTTGTCCCTCTCCCTCTGCTCCTCCCCCACACGTGTTCTCTCTCTCTCTCTCTCAAATAAATAAAATCTTTAAAAACAAAAAACAAAAACACTGAGATTATAATAGACAACGAAAGACGGCCCAGACTGCTTAAGACTAAGGAAAAGAAACAAGTAAATGCAACGTGGGGTCCTGGAAAGAACCATGAACTCAGTGGGGAAAGTGATGCTGTTCAGGTAAGGCCTACAGTTTGGTTCATAACATCATACCAGCATTCACCTCCTGGTTCAGATAACCACATGGTTATATGAGGCATCAGCAGAAGGTAGCGAGGTGAGGGATCAGTGGAAACTCTGTACTATTTCTGTGACTGCTGTGAGTGTAAAAGTAGTATAACATAACTTTTTTAACATACAGGAAACACAGATTTACTACAAAGAGTGGCAGGGAAAGAATGTGATGTGATATAAATATTTAAGAGTACTGAGTATTCACCGGCTTTATAGAGCTTGACTCTGTGTTTTTAAGGTATGTGACTTCTAAATTTTAAATGTTTGGGTCACTGATAAAGGGGACTTGTCTTCGTAGTATGCTCTGTGTCATTAACTACCAACGGTCAGCAGCATGTTGTAAATTATTCTGTAGCAGACAGACAACAGGGAGATGGACACAGCCAGCTACGGCATCTGGGTATGAACCAGGCAAACAGACCCAACTATCGGGATGGCCATAAGAGAGCTCAAAGCCAAGTGATGCCCCACAGGTCTATATTTCAGGGCTGGCCTCAGTCAATTCAACCACTTCTCTGAAGTCTGCTGGCTAAGTGTGGATGATATAAGCAAATGTGACCAGAAATTCCTCCTTGCTTCTCTGGATACCTGTGTCTTAGCATTCATTCTTGCCTTTGTTTCTCTCCAGACTCATCCGACTTTCTATCCCGTTCTGGTTACCTCACCGACTTCTTTTACAGGGCTCTGTAACTTGCTGTTCATCCCCAGTGGAGGACAGTGGCATGCCCCCTCTCAAGTGCTCCTGTTCTCACAAGCCTGCACTTGGAGGAACACAGAGGGGATCTCTACGGCCTTAAAGTGTCCTAGGTGCAAAGCTCAGCACCTAAGTGACAAGACAAAATGATTCCTTCTCCAGGGGAGATAATTCCTTCTCCCATGGCCAGCTACTCTAGGAACAGAAAGTCTTAGCCTCCAGGCTATTGAGCATCCCAGCAAGCTGTCTGACTTGGCTGTGTAATCCACGAAACCACCAGCAGCCTGGCCCAATTTATCTACGCCAAGTCATGGAGGCCTCTTTTCCAACGGGACTTAGAAAACAAGCAAAAATGTCCGCCATACCAATCACGGAATGCTCTAGCATATTTACACAAAAGGTCAACACGTTTTAAAACTTATCAAATATCACAAAGGCTATCACACGCAATTCAGTTACAGTTATGCAGAAGAACTCAACACAATTATTTTTGTCCTCTAGACTCTTCTAATTATGGAACAGAACACCCTCAGTCAGATACCTGATTATTTCTCCCCATACTCCTTACTTGCCTTTTCCAGTTCTTAATGGTTTTGAGAATAATAAAAGTAAGTTTCATGTAGCCATATAAGGAAATCATAGTATAACCTTCCTATGCGTTGTACAAGAAAACCTTTTTAATTTTTTTTATTTTTAGGTAATCTCTACACCCAGCGTGGGGCTCGAACTCACAACCCTAAGATCAAGAGTCACATGCTCTACCGGCTGAGCCAGCCAGGCGCCCCCACAAGAAAACCTTCTGGAAAATGGTGTGGATCCAATCGGCAATTATGATGTCACTGAGCGCATTAAAACCAAAGTCTCCCTCCATACCAGGTAAACATTCTACACGTGACCAAATGGGTAGTTGGCAATGATGACTAAGCATTTCACCTTAAATGTCATGTTCAGGAATCTAGCTGAAAAAAAGAAAAAGCCTGGTTCACTTACCGAATTGGCAATGGCATGAATGACTCTAGAAAATCCCACAGCATCATTCAGTTCTTCCTGATTTAGAGAAACAAACCAAGAAAACTGCTGACGTACACATATTCCTTATCTGAATCGGTTAAAATGTAGCCCCCAAAAACACTTTAGTGTTATATTGAGTTAGATAGCTTTAGTTTCCCTGTTCTGTCTCCATGATCCCAAAGAACTGCGTCTGACATAACTTATGTACACACCTTTCTTCTGTTTTAGAACGTGGAATTAGCAAGTCCCAAACTATTCAATAGTTACTAAAATAATGGCACCTAGGGTTTACCTATCACTTCAAATCATTTGTTGAAATTTCCAAGTCCAGCAAATGGCCTTAAAAATACAAACTTTTCAAAGCTGCCACCTGCTGGCCAAATTCAATACTGCATTAAATTCTGAGGAAGCCCATCTAGCAGCGGACTGACTGATCAAATCAAGCATTCTCATAATTTCTGGCTTTTTTCCTTGTCAAATGCATTTTTGTACTTTTGGAGCATAGCATTCTGAGACTCAGCCCCACCCAGTTTCTTCTCTCCTTTCCTCCCAATGATGTCTGAATAGGCTCAATTTCTCTCCTATCTTGATACCCCATCCTCAGTGCTAAGCTGGATGCACCTGCTGCCCTTCCTGTCTCATCATAGCTACATTACTCGAGGCTTCTCTCCGTTCACTCGCTCCTTGCAGCCCTCTCTCTGGCCTCACCCCCACTGAAACGGCTCATCTCTTTAAACTACTCCCAAGGCTAACAAGTGACGGCGGGGATATGGAGAAACTGGAACACTTGTGCCCTGTTGGTGGGAATGTAAAGTGGTTCAGTCGCTATGGAAAACAGTATGGCAGTTCCCCAAAAAATTAAATATAGAATTTCCACGCGATCCAGCAATTTCACTTCTGGGTATATACCCAAAAGAACTGAAAGCAAGGACTCCAAGAGATATTTGCACACCCATGATCATAACAGCATTATTCACAAGAACCAAAAGGCAGAAGCAACCCAGTGTCCATGACAGATGGATGAAGAACATGTAGTCTCTACAGACAATGGACTACAGACAATAGACTACTATTCAGCTCTAAAAGGAAGGGAATTCTGACACCTGCTACAACACGGGTAAACCTGGAGGGCATTATGCTGAGTGAAATAAACCAGTCACAAAAAGACTAATGCTGCACAATTCCACTTACATGAGGCACCCAGAGTAGTCAGACCCACAGAGACAGCAAGTAGAAGGGGAGTTGCCAGGGGCTGGGGTGCAGATAGGGAGTTAGTGTCTAATGAGATGAGAACAGTGACAAGGATGGATGATGTGGCTACACAACAAGGTGAAAGCACTTAATCCTACAGAACTGTACACTTGGAAACAGGAGAGTAAATTTTCTGTGTATTTTGCCACAATAATTTCTTTTTAATTTTTAAAAATGTTTTTTAAAAACTTCATAACCCTATGTTTTAATGACATTTTTAGTACTTTCTCCCAGATAGACTGTTAACTCTTAGATAGGAAAGCCACGAATCATTCGTTCTGGGACGCCTGGGTGGTTTAGTCGGTTAAGCATCTGCCTTCGGCTCAGGTCGTGATCCCGGGATCCTGGGATCCATCCCCACGTCAGGCTCCCTGCTCAGTGAGGAGTCTGCTTCTCCCTCTGCTCCTCCCCCCGCTCAGTGCTCACTCTCTCGCGCTCTCTCTCTCAAATAAATAAATAAATCGTTTGTTCTGACACCCTCTGCACCTACCATAATGCTGGAACACACGGTGAGTATGCTACAAATGGTGAATAACTAATTCGAACCTAATTCCTATACCAAAAGTGTTCATTGTTCCTTGTGACCAGAGGTCTTTGTCAGGTGGATGAACAGCTGAATTCCTGGAATGATGACTGCTGTGCTGGGGTCCCTGCTAAATATCCCAGTTCCCTTGGTTCTTAGATTTCTATCTTGTTCTCCTCTGTCCTCTGGGTTGGAATTCTAGCTCTCAAAACTGTTACTAAACTTTTACTGCAACACTTAAAAATAATTATTATTATTATTTAAAAAAAAAAAAAAGGACTCCCAAGGCTAAACCCAGTGGCCACATATCCATCTTTATCCGTAACTTCTCCTCTGTTGACATTCCCCTCTTCGAACATTCTCTTCCCTTGGCTGCTGGTCACAAGACTCTCCGGGTACATTCTTCTACTTCTGCTTATCATTTAAATGCCAGATCCCTCAGGAACCTACCCCAGACCATCTTATCCTCATTCTTCGGCACACGGTGGATGCTCCAGCCCAGTCCCGGTTCTCCCCACCAACGACAGCCACACCTAGCCCTCACCTCACCTTCTCTCCTGCGCTCCAGAAGGACAAACCTGCCTACAGGACACCCACCCGTGGACGCCCCAAGACATCTAAAACGTCACCGGGTCAAAAACAGAAGGTAACATCCTTCTCCACTTTGGGGGGACAGCTGTGCCATGGTGCCCTGGTGACCTTGCATGTATCCACATAGACCACATAGGCAAAGGCCTGAGTCACGACCCATCTCTGTGTCGGTGGAACACCCCGGGAAGAGTGGGTGGGAGGCAGAGGTTTATGAGGGGCTGCTTTGAGGCCCTCTCCTGCCTGCCTCCCTCTTTCTCCTGGGAGGCTGTCATGAGGGATTCTCCCTGCCTCCCAGGTTCTGATGAGGCAGGGGGCTTTCTACCCACCCTCCTTTGCAGAATACAGCTAGAGCACAGAAAAGTGCTCAGCCGTGGTCCAGAATTGGCTCCTTGGTAATGGGGTAGCCACAACTCACACAGTAGTCCCCAGGCCCCTTTGGCTTCAGTGCTGTCTTTTTGGTGGGTGGGACCACATGCAGCTGGTACCTCTGGCTGATCTTCCTTCTCTACTGAAGCAAGAAACTGTCTCAGTTCAGCAGTGGCTTTTTGCATCCTTAATGATTAGACCAGTCAGATGTGGCCCTGCCTTATGCATGTGTGAGCTCTTGGCCTCCTCCACCTGTCCCCCCAATTGGCTTTAAAATCACTCTGGGCCACCCCATCTGACACCAGTCTACCCAGTTGCTCAAATTTCTAGCTTGAGTATCTTTCTTTTCTCCCTTCCACTTTCACCACCCACACCCAATCCCAAATTCCACTGAGTCTACCTTTTTTTTTTTTTCAAAGATTTTTATTTATTTGAGACAGAGAGACAGTGAGAGAGGAAACACAAGCAGGGGGAGTGGGAGAGGGAGAAGCAGGCTTCCATGGGGCAGGGAGCCCAATGCAGGGCTTGATCCCAGGACCCTGGGACCATGACCTGAGCCAAAGGCTTAACGCCTGAGCCACCCAGGCGCCCCCACTGAGTCTACCTTCTAAACATCTCCAGGGTCCACCTAAATTGCTATCCAGTATCCTATTCCAGCTCACCGACATCTCACAGATTACTCCACAGCCTAACTGGTCTCCCTGCCTCCGGTCCTCCTCACTGGAATCCACTCTCCAGACAGCAACCAGGGTGATGCTCTGACAATGCAAATACCACCATGTCATCCTAATCTGTCGAATCACAGGTTCCAGTTTGTTTTAGGAAAACCAGCAACTGTGCCCGAGGCTAAACACAGCAGTATTAGCTAATGGGCATGCGATTCAGGGACACACAATCTGAATGATGACCAAGAATACATTTTTTTAGAGGCTGACTCACACAGATGATTCACATGTCAGACTCACTTTGGTGGCTATGTCTAAATTCTTAACCTTAAGTTTCCCTTGTTCTGTTCTAGGTGTTTCTGCCAATTCAATGCTGCTATGTTAGGACACTATTCATTACGCTGAATGTGACACAGGATCTACAAACATGCAGGAAGGCCTACATCAGTACCAAGCTGCCATTTCTCACCCAAAAGACATGAACATAACTCAGTCACCTGTTCCTTAGCAAGTTTCTGCTGCTCCCTCCTCTTACGCTCTTCTTCATCTACTTTGCTGATGACGATGTAGCGCTCTTTCTGAAAGATATAAAGGAGATGTACAACTTTCCAGAAGCAACCTGACTTCAAACAACTCAGATTCTGCTACCATTCAAAGTTATATGTTTTACCAACGCAGCCTTTCATGGGCTAACCCGCTGAGAGTATTTTGAAATGCCGTGAAAACTGAGTTGGCGTGTTACAAACCAAAATTCTGCCTCTGCGCATGCGCAACATTTGCTCATGGTTTATTAATTCACCCCAACAGAGGTCACTTCAAAGTATCAACAGACTATGAGAATAAGACACTTCCCACGATGAACACTAAGAAGTTACGCTGCATGTGAACGTGAATTTCTAAACAATTGGCTTTAAAATAAAATTTCCGTATCCTATTTAATTGACATAAGAAAAAAATCCTGGCTTTCCTGGTAATGTGTCAGAAAACCAGTCCCTTCCTTCTCATATATTCCATTTTGTATCAGTTAAGCACATCACATCCTATGTCCAAGTTTGAGATTTATCTTCTAGCAAGATTTTTTAATTTACTTCATCTCTTATTTCATCAGACATCCGACTTAAGAGCAACAACGAAATCCTAAAATTCTGAAATTTTGCTAACGGAGCCCACCATCAACCTCCCATTACCCACCACGGGTCCAACAGCACACCTCAGGAATACATGCCATAGCGATACTCATGCCCCAGAGTCTATCATTTAATTTCACGTGCCTGCCAACAGGAAGCCATTTTTTTCATGCAGAGCACTACAGCTTTCTGCCATAATCAGAATGCATACTAACATTTGCATACTTTCAAGTTTACAAAGCATGTTCATGCCCGCTGACACACTTGATCACCACAAAACAGCTGTGAAACAGGCACAGACCATCACTGTCAGGCTCATCCCCAGAGTACAAATGAGGAAGATGAGGCTTCCAGAGGTGAAGTGACTTGCCCAAGGTCACCCAGCTCACAAGAAGCAGAGCCACGAGTCAATCCTGACTCTCAGCATGTTCAATGTATCATTGCATGGGTTTGGCTCTGGATAGTTCTTGGGGTTACCTTTTCAGTTTCTAAAGTGTCAACGTGAATGCCTTTGGGATACCTAAAGAAGAGAGAGACAACAGGACATCACTAGATGAGACAATGACAGCTAAAACCCTACGTATTTTCAAAGCAAGTCTATAGCGATAATTCAGTAAGTTTTATTAAATATAAAATAACTATTACAATGAATACTTTATAGTAAGTCTAATCCATAATATTTCAGCTGCCAAAGGCTTCCCTGTATCTGCTTTTAAAAGGCAGGAGTGTAACTGATTTCAAATTAATTTTTTAGGACATGGGCATCTACTGAGATGTCATGGATCACCTAATACAGTCAGCTCATTACCACACAGTCAAATCTTGCTTCCAAATATAGTAACATTTACTTCCTAAGTGAAATTGTGAAGGTCATTTTAAATGGTATGGGCATACATAGAAGAGGTTTGAGAAAAGTAACTCTGCTGTAATTTGGCATGGTAGCTTGCGACAGCCAAGGAGAAGAATCTGGAACCCACATGGAGTACAGTGCAAGGGTAACATGACAGGAAAGGAGCCTAGTCAGAGGACAATGGCCCTTTTCCTGTTTTGTTCAAAGTAAATTCCAAGTACGTATCACTGGTAGATTCTAATGGGAGAACAAGAGCCCCAGCATCAAATACAAACATCCAACTGCTCAACAATGATGTTCAATTTTGGGGCTAGAGAGCCACTTGAAAATACAGAGATAGGGTGCCTGGGTGGCTCAGTCAGTTAAGTGTCCGACTCTTGATTTCGGCTCAGGTCACGATCTCAAGGTCATGAGATCAAGCCCTGCGTCGGGCTCCATGCTCAGCGTGGAATCTGCTTGAGATTCTCTCCCTCACCCTCTGCCCCTCTGCACCACCCCCTCACGTGCACACTCATACACCCTCTCTGTCTCTCAAAAAAAAAAGGGGGGGGGGTGAAAATACATAGAACTCAATGGAAACACCTCCAGAAAAATACATGCACAAAATTATGGATGTGATTTCAGGGAATTCAGAGACCCCCTGAAACCCACCCATGGTCCACCCCTGCTTTAGAAAGAGCATTCATCTAGGTATTTTCTAGATCTTAAAACCCCATCTGGGGGCGCCTGGGTGGCTCAGTCGTTAAGCGTCTGCCTTTGGCTCGGGTCATGGTCCCGGGGTCCTGGGATCGAGCCCCGCATCGGGCTCCCTGCTCTGCGGGAAGCCTGCTTCTCCCTCTCCCACTCCCCCTGCTTGTGTTGTGTCTCTCTCTGTCAAATAAATAAAATCTTTAAAAAAAAAAAACAAAAACCCATCTGTATCATGTACCTTCAAAGAACACTATACATCCAGAACTTAATGGACTTAAGGCCAAAGTGACAATTAAAAGAAAATTTTAAAGGCTTAAAAGCACCTGCTAAGAAATAACAGAAAATTAGTGGGTATTTAAGGAACTTAACAAGTAGGGGAAGTAGCACAATAAAGCACTGCCCAAGAGCATGGTATGGTCAAATCACCAAAAGCTGCAGAATCTCAAAAGTGAAAAGAGAGCTAAAAGATTGTATTTAGTTTTAAATCCTGGGTCCCTCACAGAGTTCTCACATATAATATAAACACTTACTTCCAGCTCAAAGTCTGATAAATTAGTTTTCTTTGGAACCTATAAAAACAAAAGAGAAGGTACTGATTTGGGCTCATTAAAAGAAAATCCTAACCGATCAAGCACTGGTTGGGGAAATACATTTAATTTTTAAAAGCAACTCCATGAGAAGTGACGGGTAATACGCAAACAAAATACAGGAGGGACGTGTGAGGTGGCAGGATCCCTCATCACTCGTCCTCATCAGAATCTTCTTTAATATTATTATACCGCATTTATCCAAGAGGTGAAAGTTCTTGTCCAACCACAGTATCACTTCCTGTGACTGTCCAATGACTCTGAAGTAGACACATGCATTAAAACACTTTTGTGAAGCCAGTCACAAAGTAAAAGGGAAGTAAGGTGTTTGAGTCACTGCCTCTTTGAGACACTGATGTTTTTTACTGCAGAGAGAAATTAGAAGGATAGAGGCAGCCTGACGGTGAATTCTTCCCTTTAAGCCTTCATGTATTAAGCACTCTCCGAGGCGAAAGTAATTATGCCACTCTGGAGCGTAACTTACAGCCAAAGATGCGCAAGGGTTCTCTCCCCTCCAGGGTAGGACAAACTGTTCATTCTCTGTCTCAATATACCATGGTCCCCACTGTGTTAATGCTCAAGTTAGTGCTTACATCATACAAATAATAACAAGACTATGAATGTTTGTTTCAAAGACCAAAATGGAGCACATGAGAATATTCAGGGCAACTAACCCAGTACATGGCTCTAAATCCAAGTTCTTGTTTTCTTCACTTTGTAATAAATCTTCTATTTTCTCTCTGAGGAATTAGAATGAAAACATCACCATCAATATCTTTAAGGAAGGAAGTCATCAACCAACAGAATAATCATACTCAGAAGCAAACTGACTATAAGAACATAGGACAATGTAACGGTACCCAATCAGGTTATAAGTTTTTAGCTACACTTAAAAGTTACACGTGGTTACACATAAAAATACTTTATTGGGGGGGGCGCTTGGGGGGCGCAGTTGGTCAAGCATCTAACTCTTGGTCTCGCGCAGGTCTTGATCTCAGGGTTGTGAGATCGAGGCCTGGTGGGGCTCCCTGCTCTGCTCGGAGTCTGCTTGAGATTCTCTCTCCCTCTCCCTCTGCCCCTCCTGCTCATGATCTCTCTCTCTCCCTCTCTCTCCCTCTTTCTGGCTCTAAAACTAAATAAATAAATCTTTTTAAAACATACATTATTTGAACATATTCTTTTTGTTCTTGTTATTCATGAATTAGGAAACTTCTCAAGGATTCATCAATACAAGCGATTTAAATTTTTACTTTTCTAGGGGAGGGGGAGTAGGGGGTTGGGCAAAATGGGTGAAGGGGAGAGGGAGATATAGGCCTCCAGTTATGAAATAAGTAAGTCGCAGGGGTGGGGGGATGGGATAACTGGGTGATGGACATGAAGGAGGGCACGTGATGTAATGAGCACTGGGTATAAGACTGATGAATCACTGAACTCTACCTCTGAAACCAATAATACATTGTATGTTAATTAAAATTAAATTAAAAAAGAAACAATAAAACCAAAAAAAATGAAGTAAGTCAGTCACAGGAATAAAAAGCAGAGCATTAGGAATACCATCAACGGCACTGTAATAGTGAAGTAATGGGACAGATGGGAGCTACACTTGTGAACACAGCATAATGTATAAACCTGTCAAATGACTATGTTTTACACCTAAAACTCATGTAACATTGTGTGTCAACTATACTCAAGTAAAATTAAGTCACTAATTAATTTTTACTTTTCTAGTAAAGCAGTTTACCAAAAACTCAGGAAAACCAGACACTCCTTCAGTGGCCTGTGTGCTAGTCAGAAACTTCATTCAGAAAACAAAATAAAACAAAACAAAAATGTGGATGTGTTGCAAATATCTGGATGGGCCTGTTTCATTCCTCTGCCTTCAGGGAAACTGGACAGTGTTTATGGGGCCCTTGATCCATGCAAGAGGTATGTGCACTGGCTGAGTCTCTTGCCCAGGACACATGGGAAGTCTAAGTACAGTACACAGAATTCTATTTTACAATGTGCTGTGATTACACAAATTCAGGTATGACACAGTGAAATCCTGCCATTCACCCTATCACACCTGCGTGCGCTGTGTGTGTGAAGCTCAAGGTTAAAATACAGATGTCAGGGGCGCCTGGGTGGTTCGGTTGGGCGTCTGCCTTTGGCTCAGATCACGATCTCAGGTCCCTGGGATCGAATCCCACGTTGGGCTCCCTGCTCAGCGGAGAGTCTGCTTCTCTCTCTCCCTCTGCCCCTCCCCACCATTCGTGCTTTCTCTCAAATAAATAAATAAAATGTTAAAAAAAAAAATACAGATGTCAGTTCGGCCCCAACATACATTTACATAATGCACATTTGGTTTCAGTTTTGGAACTTACACCACTTGGTCAATAAACTTCTTCTGGTCCTCAGGAATTGTCACAGGACATTTGGAAGTGTTTGGTGATACATAAGACAGAGTTCCTGCGCCATTGGACTGCAGACGTTTTTCATCATAATGCTCTCTTAATTGTCTTTCTTCTTCCTGATTTAAATATGGGATTCCTAAATGTAATTTTAAAAAGAATGCATTAGCAGAAGTAACTTAGCATAAAAATTTTAACATAAAAATTCTTGAACAAACCAGTGAATCTGAAACACTCAGGAAAGACTGAACATATGTAACCATACCCCAAAAAATCAACAGAAAAAGCAAATGATTGTGAAATACATCTGTCTGTTCATTCACTCCCATTATTCATTCTTCTTTCAACAAATGCTTATTTGGCACTTCCACTGGGCCAGGCACTGTATCGGGCACAAGGTGTCTAACCATGAACAAAGGAGACACATCCTACTCTGTGGTGAAGGGAACGACTTCCGACCAGATGATCAGAGAAGGTCACTTCAAGGGAAGACCCAAAGAATGAATCAGGCCGGCAAAAAGCCAGGGGAGGAGTATTTCAGGTGAGGGAACAAGTATAAATGTGCAGAGGGGGACACGTGGGTGGCTCAGTCGCTAAGTGTCTGCCTTCGGCTCAGGTCATGATCTCGGGGTCCTGGGATCGAGCCCCACGTCGGGCTCCCTGCTCGGCAGGAGGCCTGCTTCTCCCTCTCCCACTGCCCCTGCTTGTGTTCCCTCTCTCGCTATGCCTCTCTCTGTCAAATGAATAAATAAAATCTTTTTTAAAATAAATAAATAAATAAAAAATAAATGTGCAGAGGATGGGATGGTGCAGACTGCTCCCAAAACAGCAAGGAAGCTGGTGTGAGCAGGAGAATGGCACAAGGTTGGCATGGAGAGGCCAGGATAAGAATTTATTTTATTCTGGGTGCCTGGATGGCTCAGTCCATTAAGCGTCTCCCTTCGGCTCATGTCAGGATCCCAGGGTCCTGAGATTGAGCCCTGCATCAGGCTCCCTGCTCAGCAGGGAGTCTGCTTCTCCCTCCGTCCCTCCCCCTGCTTGTACTCTCTCTCTCTCTCCCTCACTCCCTCCCTCCCTCACAAAAATAAATAAAATCTTTAAAAAAAAATTTATTTTATTCTAAGAGCAATGGAATGCCATTAGAAGGTTTTAGGCAAGGGGCGCCTGGGTGGCTCAGTCGTTAAGCGTCTGCCTTCGGCTCAGGTCGATCTCAGGGTCCTGGGATCGAGCCCCACATCGGGCTCCCTGCTCAGCGGGAAGCCTGCTTCTCCCTCTCTCACTTCCCCTGCTTATATTCCTGCTCTCGCTATCTCTCTCTCTCTGTCAAATAAATAAATAAATAAAATCTTCAAAAAAAAGAAGAAGAAGGTTTTAGGCAAGATAATTACAGTATCTGCTTCTCATTTCTAAGAGATCACTTCGACTCCTGTGAGGGTTGAAGTAGGGAAGTCCGTTAAAAGCAACTGTCCAGGCAAGAAGTAACTGCTTCCATCAGAGATCAGTAAACTTTCTCTTAGAGGGGGCACACGCAGTAAATGTTTCAGGCTCGTGGGCCACGTGGGGAGCTCTGTTACAACCAATCAACTGTGCTCTTGCAACACAGCCATACACACTGGGTAAAAGAACAGGCATGGCTTTATTTAAAATAAGACTTTATGGACAAAGTAGGCAGTGGGTCATGGTTTGTGACCCAGCTTAGACTACAGAGATGAAGAGAATGACTAGAGTGACAGGAGAGAGAGAACCTGCTGATATACTGGAAGGGAGGGATAAAGGGAAGAGCAAGACCAAAAATGACACCTGGCTATTAGGTGTAAGCAGCTGGGTAGATGGCAAGTCCACATATGGAGGTGGGAAACACGGGGTAAAGAACAGTTTCGGCCCAAGGAGTGAAAATTAAAAGTTATCTCCTGGATATATAAGGGTATACATAAATTATATATTATACATTAATTAAGGGTGGTAGATATAAGCCTAACATTCAGGAGAAAGGTACTGAGATATCTATTTAGAGATCAGCACGATATGGGTGGCATTAAAGGTCATGGGACACTAATGAACTTTCCACAATGACGCAATTGGAAAATCACGATTGTCAGCAATACTAATTGTTCCATGCAAGAATCATCAGTCAATGCTAAAATTAATTGGTGAAAAAGGTGATCAATATTGTTAACACCAAGAGCTGCATGACATGAACATCCTTAGTATCACTGAACGGAGTACTTAAAAATGGTTAAGATGGTAAACAATGTGTGGCTTTTTCCACAATGGAATAAACAAGTTAACATCACGGGTAACGAGACGAAGTAGAGAAGGACAAGAGGTAGTGCTGTCAGCGTGAGAAATGCTGGAGGTGGGCAGTTAGTGGTGATAAGACCCATGATGGGTAGAGGATAGAGATGGCTAAGGGGACGTACAAGCAAAGACTGCTGTGTGCCTGGTCAAGAAACAGACAATATGGAGCATTTGCTGGTCATCCCTGTGGATGCTGATGTCACCCATAATGAGGAGGGAGGTAGGAGTAGAGAGAAGACAGTAAGCCAAAGCCAAGGCTGTCCCGAATGCCACGCTCATGAAATGGGCAGAAAAAGGAGATACAGAAGTGGTGGCACATCCCTGCCAACAGGGGCTCCTGGGCAGAGGGAACCCAAGCGGCTTGCAAGTAGCGTGGGGGAACAAGGAGACCAATGGGATGCCTGCCTGGACAGACCAAACAACAAAGGTAAAACCACCTGTGTTCCAGAGGGATGCAGGGGCAGGGGAGCAAAAGAGGAGTCCCCCGGTTCCATTCCAGGCCAGGAAGTGAAAGACACTTCCAAGAAGACTATCAGGAGAAAAGGGTCTGTAACACTTTTCAGGAAATAGAGGAAGGAAAAGCACTCTGGTGGGGACTTGAATGCCCAATATTCACTCACGAATGTTAGGGTCACTTCCCTGACACAGCAGAGGACTCATGCTATACACGGGGGATTTGAAATGAATGAGACACAGTCCCTTTCCTCAGGGTGTCCGCACACCTGTCACACCACCCAGTTAGCTGTCATGACCGTGCTGTCTACGCAGACTTTTTTTCTCCCATGAGAAACTACCTCCAATTATAAAACAAGCACTGCTTGAAAAAGGGGGCTTTTCATTAGAGAATTACTAGCATACAGCTACTTTTTAAAGTATTCTGCTGCCTGTCTCACTGGAAGAAAACAGGGCAGTGCTCCCCACAGGTGGCCTGTTAGGGCCACGAAGTCACACCAGTGGGAGAATAAACTCCATTCAATAAGATCAGGAGTTGGTGAGGCCTCATTAGAGCAAAATGAAGTAGAGTCTACTCTTCCCATTCAGTTCATGGTAGACCAGGCTACACTCTTTAAAAGGCACAATAAAAGAGTTTTTAAAAATTCTAAGGCTGGGGGCGCCTGGGTGGCTCAGTCGTTGGGTGTCTGCCTTTGGCTCAGGTCATGATCCCAGGGTCCTGGGATCGAGCCCCACATCGGGCTCCCTGCTCTGAAGGAAGCCTGCTTCTCCCTCTTCCACTCCCCCTGCTTGTGTTCCCTCTCTCGCTGTGTCTCTCTCTGTCAAATAAATAAATAAAATATTAAAAAAAAAATTCTAAGGCTGCACATGGTATACCAGGACTCTGAGATTCTGTCTCAGATGGCAGGCACAAAAAGATCATTCTCAACCAAATCCAAATTTACAAGCTCTAAGGATAAGCCCCATACAATCTTACCATTGCGGAAAACTTTATTAAAATCAAATCCTTGGCTTGCTAGAAAGTCAATGCTTGAGCTCTGAAACAAGAGGGAACAGAACATACATTTTGGTGATGTTGGTGGCAGATACGTGAACAGAAACAGAGAGGTAACTCACACACATAAACAAAGGCAGACAGCCAAAGTCAGAAAATTAGCATTTCTACTCCAAGGCTGCCAAATAATCCATTCATTTGCTATCTGGGCTCTTCTCCTTTAGAGCTTATAAAACAAATATCCTTCGTTTCATAATATTTAAGAAAATTATAATGGGTAAACACATATTCTCCCAAAAGGCAAAAAACTCCTGATCACTGTACTGAGTAGGAAACAATAAAAAGAAATAAAATGTATTGACAGTCTCTCACCACCAGTTCAAGTTTAAAGTAGCTCACATGTGCAAGTCATAACACATCAACATCCACCCCAAGGTTGATTCTAAAAACCCAAAATCTTCACTGGCTAGCCTTTACGTTCAAGATCAAAAATAGAGAAAAGTTCCCAGTAACAAGACTGATTACACAAATACATCTGAAACCTAGAGTGAGCCGAAATATAAACATTTAAATGAAAACATTAAGAAAATACTACCATATATGGTATACATGAATGGCAAATCACAAAGTTCTTGACTCGATGTGACTAAAGAGCATAAAATATGACTGCAGCTACTCTAATTTCTTGTTTTAAGTCAGAACACGAGAGGGTGATACACCTGAGTCATTCTGATCTGGTTCCTCATAGAACTACCTTTCCTGAACTGTACTTCGACAGGATACCATCTGTCCAGATGAGGGATGCTGTACCAGTCCTGTGAAACTCGTGATGGTATTCACTTTAGACAGGTAGCCAAAGACAAGGTTTTCTATATTTCGTAATTTCTTTATGGTAATGAAAGGCGCATGTTCTGATTCTGTGCACCACAGAGCTGTGTGTGTTTCCCCTGTCTTAGCTGCTAGGAGACGCACAGACAGTGGAGACTTTCTTTGGCACAAATTCTGTGTTCTAATCATACCATACTAAGCACATCTTCATTTTTCTTTTCTTCCCATTTTTCCTTTACTCATTTTTTAGGGTGTTGTGTTAAAAGATAAATACCATATTTAGCTTTATTAGCCAACACAAATTCTTTTTAAAATATAGCAGGATGAGGGGCGCCTGGGTGGCTCAGTTGGTTGGGCGGCTGCCTTCGGCTCAGGTCATGATCCTGGAGTCCCTGGATCGAGTCCCGCATCGGGCTCCCCACTCCATGGGGAGCCTGCTTCTCCCTCTGACCCTCCCCCCCCATGTGCTCTCTCTCTTTCTCTCTCAAATAAATAAATAAAATCTTAAAAAATATATATATATATAGCAGGATGTAGAAAAGACTATCTTAGGGGTGCCTGGGTGGCTCAGTCGGTTAAGCATCTGCCTTTGGCTCAGGTCATGATCCCAGGGTCCTAGGATCAAGCCCCACATCAGGGCTCCCTGCTCAGTGGGAAATCTGCTTCTTCTTCTCCCTCTGTTCCTCCCCCTTCCTTGTTCTCTCTCTCTCTCAAATAAAATATTTTTTAAAAAACTACTTAAGGGCGCCTGGGTGGCTCAGTTGGTTAAGCGACTGCCTTCGGCTCAGGTCATGATCCTGGAGTCCCGGGATCGAGTCCCGCATCTGGCTCCCTGCTCGGCAGGGAGCCTGCTTCTGCCTCTGACCCTCCCCCCTCTCATGTGCTCTCTCTCTCTCATTCTCTCTGTCTCAAATAAATAAATAAAATCTTTAAAAAAAAAAAAAGATAAAAAACTACTTAAAATGCTGAATTTTGTCATGTATTTCTTACCATAATTAAAAAAAATCCTTGAACCTACAAAATCTATTTGGGTTTAGTGTCCATTAGTCTTTGATTTGTCCTAAATGTACCATTTTCAGGATTCAAAAAATGAACACAGCTATTTGGAAGAACAATTTCAGGCAGCCATCAAAATTTCAAATGCATATGCCCAATGAGTCAGCAATTCCCCTTTGAGGAAATCTATAAAAAAAATCCTATAGGGCGCCTGGGTGGCTCAGTGGGTTAAGTGTCTGCCTTCAGCTCAGGTCATGATCCCTGGGTCCTGGGATAGAGCCCTGCATCGGCTCCCTGCCCTGCTTCTCCTTCTCCCTCTGCCCCTCCCCACCTTACCCCATGCCCTCTCTCTCTCTCACTCTCTCAAATAAATAATAAAATCTTTTTTAAAAATTCTATAAAAATATTCCTACATATATGTGGCACCTGGCTGGCTCAGTCAGTAGAGCATACAACTCTTGATCTCAGGGTCTTTTTTTTTTTTTTTTAAAGATTTTATTTATTTATTTGGCAAAGGGAGACACAGCAAGAGAAGGAACACAAGCAGCAGGGGTGGGAGAGGAAGAAGCAGGCTTCCCGCCGAGCAGGGAGCCTGATGCGGGCCTCGATCCCAGGACCCTGGGACCATGACCGGAGCTGAAGGCAGACGCTTAACAACTGAGCCACCCAGGAGCCCCGATCTCAGGATCTTGAGTTTGAGTCCCTCAATGGACATAGAGCTTACTTAAAAAAAAAAAAAAAAATTCCCACATATACACCAAGATATACTACACACAAATGTTAACTATAACACTGTTTAAAAGAGGGAAACTTTGGGGCACCTGGGTGGCTCAGTCAGTTAAGCATCTGACTCTTGGTTTTGGCTCAGGTCACGATCTCAGGGTCGTGAGACTGAGCCCCGTGTCAGTCTCCGTCCTAGGTGCAGAGCCTGCTTAGAACTCTCTCTCCCTCTCCCTCTGCCCTTTCCCCCTGCTCTCGCTCTCTCTCCCTCTCAAAAAAAAAAAAAAAAAAGGAACCTTTGGAAAACTTCTAAATTCTAATTAAATAAATTACATGTGAAATATGTGAAAACTAATTGAAATATGAAGAAACTGTATTGAGTGGAAAATATAAGTTACATAAAATATGAATATCAGGATTCCATATCTATTTTTTAAAAAAGGTAAAGTTAGATATACCTGTGTAGACCTATGGATACAGATGGCCCCCGACTTAACAATGGTTCAATTTAGGATTTTTCCACTTCACGGTGATGCAAAAGCAATACGCATTCAGTAGAAACAATACCTCAAATTTTTAATTTGGATCTTTTCTGTGCTAGTGATCTATACAGCACAGTATTCTCTCATGATGCTGGGCAGAGGCAGCTCCCACTCAACCACACAAACACAAGTGCTTACAACCATTCTGTACCCCTACAACCATTCCTTTTTTTCTTTTTAAAGATGTCATTTTTAACCCATCATGGGGCTCAAACTCACAACTCCGAGATCAAAAGTTGCATGCTCCAGACTGAGCCAGCCAGGCGCCCCACGCATACAACCATCCTACGTTTTACTTTCAATATGGTATTCAATAAATGACATGAGACTTTTAACATTATATTACAAAACAGGCTTTGTGTTAGATAATTTTGCCCAAGAACAGGCTAATGTAAGTGTCCTGAGCACATTCACGGTAGGGTAGGCTATCTATGATGTTCAGCGGGTCAGGAGTATTAAAAGCAGTTTTACAATGTTTTCAACTTACAGTGGGTTTATTGGGACATGCCACCATCATAAGTGGAGGAAAACTGTGTATGTATACAAGTATATAAAAGTTAGGAAAAAGGAGGGGCACCTGGGTGGCTCAGTTGGTTAACTGTCTGCCTTTGGGTCAGGTCATGATCCCAGGGTCCTGGGATCGAACCCCGAGTTGGGCTCCCTGCTCAATGAGAAGCTTGCTTCTCCCTCTACCTCTGCCCCTCCTCCCCGCTTGTGCTCTCTCTCTCGCTCATAAATAAAGAAACAAAATCCTTAAAAAAAAAGTTAGGAAAGAGGAGTGAAACAGGGAAGGAGATGGAAGAGGATATTTTTAAAAAACTCAATTACTCTACAAATAGCAGCAATGTTTTGATATTTCACAATCATTTATTTTTTATCTTCAACGAATTAAACATTTGATGCTAAGCTAGAAAAAAAGAGAACAAAAAGAGATGAAAACAATGTAAATGCCTAAAATACAGAGAACAAACTGATGGTTGCCAGAGGGGAAAGAGGGAAGGGGATGGGCAAAATGGGTAAAGGGGAGTGGAAGGTACAGGGTGCTAGTCATGGAATGAGTAAGTCATGGGAACAAAAGATACAGCATCAGGAACATAATATTTTCATAGTCTCGTACAGGTGGTGACAGGTGATAGCTACACTTGTGAACACAGCATGACATACAGAAATGTTGAATCACTATGTCGTACACCTGAAACTAATGTAATATTATTTATTAACTGTGCTCAAAAAAATTTTTTTAAGTAATGTAAATGCCTCCCATCCCGCTGGCTGGGTACACTCCCTGGAAGTGTGTGAGGTTCTGAGTCCGCCCGTTCTTCCATATCCTGCCTAGTGTGTGAGCATCTCACTATGTGTACAGACACTTATTTTACAAAGAGCCTATTACACGTTGCTCTACTCCCCAGCCCTACCTATTTTAAGGGTGAGAAGAGCTGTACAAGAGTGATTTTTGCCTAGACACAATTTTCACCCCACTCTCTGACTTTAGAAGCTAACTTCCTTATAAGATGCAACTCTGCTGCAGTCCTAGAATTTTATTATTTTTTTAAGATTTTATTTATTTGTCAGAGAGAGAGAGAGAGCACGCGTACACAAACAGGGTGAGCAGCAGGCAGAGGGAGAAGCAGGCTCCCTGCTGAGCAATGAGCCCAATGTGGGACTGAAGCCTGATGTGGGACTTGATCCCAGGACCCTTGGATCATGACCTGAGCCAAAGGCAGACACTTAACCGACTGAGCCACCCAGGTGTCCCAACAGTCCTACAATTTTATTTATTTTTTTAAAGATTTTATTTTTATTTATTTGACAGTGAGAGAGGGAACACAAGCAGGGGGAGTGGGAGAGGGAGAAGCAGGCTTCCCACGGAGCAGGGAGCCCGACGAGGGGCTCGATCCTAGGACCCCGGGATCATGACCTGAGCCGAAGGCAGACGCTTAATGACTGAGCCACCCAGGCGCCCCAGTCCTAGAATTTTAAACAAAACAGAAACCACCTTGGATGGAGGAAAAAAACAAAACAAAATTCAAAGATATTATCGTTCACCTTATCCATACAATTCACAAGTTTACATACTAAGTCTAAGCCTTTTCTCTGACTTTGCTTTTCCAGACTAAAAAAATTGTAATGTTTATCCCATTGTCCATTTTACCGTTGATTTTTTAAGATTTTATTTTTTTATTTATTTGAGAGAGAGCTAGAGAGCACGTGAGCACACATGTATGCGAGCAGGGGAGAGGGAGTGGGGAGCAGAGGGACAAGCAGACTCCATGCTGAGTGTGGAGCCTGACTCGGGGCTCAATCTCATGACCCTGAGATCATGACCCGAGCCGAAACCAAGAGTCAGACGCTTAACCAACTGAGCCACCCAGGTGCCCCCCATTGTCCACTTTAGACATGAGTCTCTGGCCTGTTCAAATCTATCATATCTTTTTTTGTTTGTTTCTTAAGGAGTGGCTGGCAACTAGAATTGCACTGAGTATTCCAGGTGTGGCCACAGAATAGCTTTGTACGACAGCCAGAGTTCTTCTGATCCACTTCCATTGCATAGCTAGAGTATCTGTACTTGTGTTGGTATTTAGAACAAAGCATCATCCCTAAGATGTCTCATTGCCAATGTCTACTTTTGCCCAACTGACGCCCAGCCAACGTCACGGAACCCACTTACATTTCTGTCTTCTCCTGGTATTGCTGGAAAACTTTATCCACACAAATTGCCAAACGGAGCCTTTTTTTTTCCCTCAGTAGGAATCTACAAATACTGTTTAATTAGTATCCCCTACTAAGGTAATTCGTAAATAGCTATTAACTGAATGCAGAATAAAGACCTACTGGCTAATTTAAGAAACCAGGTTATAAAACCAAAATTACCCTCACCTTTCCTCTTCAGCCCCAGGCATATGATTAACTTGTAATTTCACTTGCCTTATTACAGAAAGAATCTGGCATGGCTCAGTCACTCAGAAGCCTACCCTCCAGGCTTTCTTAACCTCATTACTCCTTACACGCAGAAGGGAAGAATGGCAAGACTCAAATGAACTAACTTTGCTGAGAGAGAAGCAAGGACACAAGATTCTAAGGGAAAAAAGATCATCCCTTGTCTCTAATCACATATCCATACACTACACCACTTATTCACATCCTCCTTATCCTTTATAATAGATTATTAAGAAAACAGAAAGAGGAAACTGATATTTACTGAGGTCTACCAGATGAGCTACAACTCTAAAGGCGATGTTCTAAAGGGCAACCTCCCTGAATCCTTACCTTGGCTCATAAAGTATGCCCTATCCTCCTCAGGAGGAAACTGTGGACTCTCTTTCTTCACTAGGGAACGAGGGAAACAGAAATGAGCATATGACTTTAGCCCCTTCTGGGTTCTCTTTTTTTAAACAGGATACACACATACTCTGCTCCTCTAGAAAATAAAGCTCTACCCTTGGAGATGAGTATAAAGAGAATGGGGTGGGAAGAAGCCTGAAGGACCTGATCTGTAGGTTCAAGTCAGGGGTAAGATATTAAAAGTCCCCAACAGAAACACATTACAAAGCCATGTTCCCCAAGTCAGCTTTGCTAATAATAAACCTCATGTTCTGGTTTCCATCTGCCTGTCTCTTGCTCTTACCCTGATTCTAAAGGAAAGAGGAAAAGAGCAGTGTCATTAATTTGCCACCCTAAAACTGAAAGTCGGAGAGGTGAAATGGTTTGCTAAAAACCCAGTCAGTGGTAGCATCAAATTTTAAAAAGAATTCTGATTCCACATTTCCACACTGTCTCATCAGCACTTCGTAACAGAAGACGATCAATTATGCTACCCACCTGACAAACAAACTTGACATCTGGTGAGGATCTATTGAAGGGTTTCGGGAACACATAGAAGTTAAATGACTTTGTTATATACCTGCAGAAAAGATGACAAAAGGAGACTTAGTAGGTTACATTACACCAGGAAAAAAGAAATCCGCCGCTTATTAAAACAACCTACTTTGAATCTGTGTGGTCATACTTAAAAGTGCAAAGGCCAAACTGAAACAGCAAAAAGTCCATGGAATGCTGGAAAAGGGAAACAAAACACCTGTCAAATCAGTGTTGTATATTCAACGTGAGCAAGAGTACTCTCAATCAGATGGGCTTTCTAACTACTCAATTTGACTTTTAGTAGAATACTTCTGATTACAACAGATTACACATTATGTATCAGAAGCATTATTAATTTACATTAATTAATGTTTCTTAATACTTTTCCCAATTAAGCCCCTATCCACCAACCAGAGCATCACATTGGGCCTATTTCCAAATGATTAAAATAACTACATCGTATTCCCTACAAATCACATTAACACTGAAAATACTAAACCTTCCCCAAAATGTTTTCCAGCAAACAATTATTTTTGCTGTTATTTTTAACATTACTAAAATATCATTTCACAGCGGGGGTAGAGAAGTTAACGTGCAAGTTTAATGAAAACATTTCTTTATAATTCAACATAAGGAAGACCAATGTGGGGGGGGAAAGAAGATGTTCGAGCACATCCACTTACCTTTTTAAGCTTCTGATACCTTTCTTCTGGAGTGTCAAAACCATTTGTCAATGCAGTGACTGAAGGTCCATCACTGATTCCTAATTTTAAGAAATAAACTTTTTTTTAACAGTCATGTAAAAACATCAGTCAACTATTCAATGGCGTGCAATTTCATATTCTTATGAATCAAAATTAATCAGAAATGCTCCTTACTTCACTTTTTCAAAATGAGAATTAATTTCACTGGCCACCAAGCTAAACACTGTAATAATGAATTTAGAGATGAGAATGCTTTAATTTGATAATAGGCAGTGCTAGTGTCTAAAATAGGTTTCGAAACACAATAATGATTTAAGAAAGCAATCTCTGTGATTAAATAAGTTCTGTTGCTTTCAAAAGGATTAATGCATAATTCGACATCCAAGAATCCTGAAGTATATTATTGTTAGAGTACCAGTCTTGATCAACAGTTTGGAGTAATATTTACACAACAAAGGAATTTTGAAGGTCAAAGAGAAAAATTATTTCTGGTGAAAACCGAGCTTCCCAGGGAACTGACTCCAACTAGAAACCTCATGCTTAAAGGTAAGTATCATATTTACCCGAGCATGGATTCCTTCAAAAAGGCTTAAGTTTTTTAAACACATAAAATCAGGTAGCAAAAGTGGGTATCTACACCAATTGTTCATACTGACTTCAACAACTCAGAAATTAGTTTTTTATCCAAGGGAAAATAAACTTTGCAATTGTAAGTGTTGACAAAGTGTGACACACACATACACACCCATGCTGAGCTATGCAATGAACACTTCCACTAATGCATAAAGAAATGCCTTCATTTACCTGCAAGAACCTGACCTTAAAGTCAATCACAAAAGAAAAATATTTTACAAATCCACTTATAGAAAGTGCCTAAAACAGTCAAATTCATAGAGACAGAAATAATAGCTGCCAGAGGCAGTGGGGAGGGAAAAATGGAGTTACTCTCCAACTGATACAGAGCTTCAGTTCGGGAGAACGAAAAAGTTCTGGAGAGGGATGCAAGATGATGTGAATGTGCTTAATGCCACTGAACTATAAAAAACACTTCAAGAGGGTTAAAATAGGGGTGCCTGGGTGGTTCAGTCATCAAGCGTCTGCTTTCCACTCAGGTCATGATCCCAGAGTGCTGGGAATAGAGCCCCGCATGGGACTCCCTACTCCACGGGAAGCCTGCTTCTCCCTCTCCCACTCCCCCTGCTTGTGTTCTCTCTCTCACTGTGTCTCTCTCTGTCAAATAAATAAATAAAATCTAAAAAAAAAAGGTTTATGTTATGCATATTTCACCATAAACACACAAAAAAACGTGACCTTTACCCTACCACGTGCATGTCACAGTTTAAGCCGCACCAAAACCATGATCTCGATCTGTAACCCTCAGAGCTCGAACAATCACAAACCCACCGCACCTCTTCCAGGCCTTTGAAACGTGTAAGAGGAAACGAGAGACTCCTACCACGCCCAAGGCCACAAACAGGGAGAAGTGGCCAGCAGGCAGGGGGTCAGAGGGTCAGGAGGAGCCTTAGCTATGCATTGCTAGCCCCCAGTTTGCAAGGGAGGGATACCTGAAAACTCCCCATCGATGGCGAAGAAGTCGGCCTCCTCTATGGCCTGGTACACTTTGTGAAGATTACTCTTAAAATCTGCGGAGAAACCGAGAAGAGGCTCAGAGACGGTGGCCTGGCTTCCTGCCCAAGAGCTCCTAACAGGAGAGGAAAGAAGGGCTGGGGAGATCCTGAGACCTCGGGCAGGAGGAGGAGAACAAGTCCTAGAGAGATAAACAAGACGGAAGGCATCAAGTCCCCGACGGGTGCACGGTTGGAGGGGGTCAAGTCCCGAGTGGGTGCTGGGCCTTAGGAGGGCAAGCCCGGGGGGGGGTGCTCGGGCCACAGAAGCACATGGGCCACAGAGGCACACGGCCCTGGGGGATGCCCGGGCAGGAGGACAAGGCCCCTAGGGGTGCACGGGACAGAGAGGGACAGGGCCCCCCAAAGCTCACAGACTTAAGGGGAAGCAAACCCCTGGGGGGCTGCCTCAGTCCCAGGCCCCGCCAAGCAAACCGGCCCTGGTCTGGGCCTAGCAGGCCAGGTGAGGGGGGCCGTGGGGCTCGGGGAGGTGCACGGAGGACACGCACTGCTCCTGATTATCTCCATTCTGCAGAGCGGCCGGAACCCCGGCCCCACCCCGGCCCGCCTCAGCCGTTCTACTCGCAAAGTTCCACGGAGACGGCAGTAGCAGCGGAGGTAGCAGCGGCAGAGACCGCGGCGGCGACTTCCGGAAACAGCGCGCGCCGGCGCGCATCACGTGAGCCTGCGTCAGCGACGGGGGCGGAGCCAGGCTGGCTCCTTTCCCTCCTTCCAGGGACAGAGGAGGGCGTGGCTATGGGAATCCCCAAGACTTGGTCTAGCTGGCGGGGTCAGACGTGAGACCCTAACTTCCGAAGAAATGTCTATGTCTTTTTTTTTTTAAGATTTTTATTTATTTATTTATTTGAGAGAGAGAGAATAAGAGACAGAGAGCATGAGAGGGAGGCGGGTCAGAGGGAGAAGCAGACTCCCTACTGAGCAGGGAGCCCGATGCGGGACTCGATCCCGGGACTCCAGGATCATGACCTGAGCCGAAGGCAGTCGCTTAACCAACTGAGCCACCCAGGCGCCCCAGAAATGTCTATGTCTTGACACCCAGTTGGTGAGTAAATATTCCCTGGCAATATTATGTGCCAGGCACTCTGAAACGGATGGGGATACAGTGATTTACAAAGGAGACAAAGTCCCTGACCCCGTTGGAGCTTAACTTGGGGTAAAAGGGGAAAGTCAGGCAGGAATCAAACTTGCCGCTTCGAAACACAATCAGCGCTATGAAGAGAAAGAGCCCGGTGCTGCAATAAGAATAATGGGGGGGGGGGGCGGGGGGTGGAGAAGAAGAAAAATAGGAAGGAGGGTTACTTAAGAGAGGTGAAGAGCATGCAAAGTTGAGACCTTTATCTACCGCACTAGTCAATGGGACTGGGGAACGAAATAGATGAGATCTTGCTGTTTTGGTTGGTTGGGAGTATACCATAGATCCTCAGAGCCTACAACGGTGTTGATGCACAGTAGATGCTCAATAAACATAGGTTGAGTGAATGAATTCACTTTAATCTTTCGCAAAAGCCGACTCTGAAGTTGATTAGAAGGCCTGCTTTCAAAGGCTAGGTCTGCCATTATTTAGGTCTGGAATGTATTCAACCTTCCTAAACCTCAATTTTCTCATTCACCAGATAAGGTTGAAGATAATTGGTGATAGTGTTTGTGAATTATAGAGTACTGTATAAATAAATGTAAGATATGATTAGAGTTCTGACTTGTCACAATTCCCCTGCATTCACACCTCTTAGTTTGAGATTTATTGAGTACAAAATTCATATGTTTTTGGAAAAAAAGATAACCATTTTCCCCCAAAAAGAAGTATTAAGTACTCTAAAGAACACAAAAGAGTCTGGACATATTTTCCCTACCACTTCCCTCCACAAAGTTCATTTCCCTTGCCTCATGCAATGGAAATTTACATATAGGTAATCATGTTCACTATCCCTAGTATGAACAGCAAGGAGTGAATGTGAATTCTAGAGTTCAGATGGAATGGGAAAGAGAAAAATATGATAGGTAGTCAAATTTCAGGCTTGAAATATCTCTGCCTTCTTGTTTCAGCTTAAAAAGTCTAATACAGAAAGTACTAGACACATATGGCCACTTAAATTTAAATTTTAAGTAACTTAAATAAATTTAAGTAATTTAAAAAATAATAAAACTTACTACAAAGCTATAGTAATCAAAACAGAGTGGTATTGGCATAAAGAAAGATCTAGAAACCAGTGAAATAGAGACCCCCAAAATAAGCCTTTGCATAAATGGACATATGATTTATAGCAAGTATGCAGAGATCATTCAATGGGAAAAGAACAGTCTTTTCGACAATAGTACTGGAAACACTAGATATCCACATGCAAATAATGAAATTGGATCCTTACTATATACCATATAAAAATTAACTCAAAATAGGTCAAACATCTAAACGTAAGAGTTCATGAAACTATAAGATTGTTAGCATAAAACATAAGGCAAAAACTTCCTAATACTGGATTTCGCAATGATTTTTTTTCAAATATGATACCCAAAGGACACATAACAAAAGAAAAAATAGATGAATGGGACTACATTAAAACTTAAAATATTTGTGAATGAAAGGATTCTATCAACAAAGTAAAAAGTCAACCCATGGAATGGGAGAAATCATATATCTGATGGGGGTTAATATCATTAATATATAAAGAACTCCCACAATTCAATGACAAAAAAATCTGATTGAAAAATAGACAAAGGACTTGTATAAACATTTCCCCAAAGAAGGTATACGAATGGCCAATAAACACACGAAAAGATGCTCAACATCACTAATGCGAATCAAAACCATATGAGATGAACTTTCACATCCCTTAAGTTAAAAAGTCAAAATCCTTGCGTGCTGTTGGTGGGAGTGTAAAATGGTGTGGCCACTGTGGACAACAGTATGGGGATTCCTAAAAAATTAAAAATAGAATTATCATATAATGCAGCAATTCCATTTCTGGGCATACACCAAAAAAAAAACATTGAAAGCAGAGGCTTGAATAGGTATTTGCACACCCATGTTCTAAGGAGCACTATTCATAATAGCCAAAGGGTGGAAGCAACCCAGTGTCCATCAACAGATGAATAGGTAAACAGAAAGTCTATATACTTAGAATGGAATATTATTCAACCTTAGGAAGGAAATTCCAACACATGCTACAAGGTAGATAAACTTTGAGGATATCATGCTAAATGAAATAAGCCCATCACAAAAAGACAAATAAGGTGTGATTCCATTCATAGGAGGTACCTAGAGTAGTAAGATTCACAAAAATAGAAGGGTGGTTCCCAGAAGCTAGAGAGAAAGGGGGGTGGGTGGGGAGGATGGGTTGCTATTAAACGTTTAACAAGTATGGGGTTTCAGTATGGGAAGGTGAAAAAGTCCTGGAGATGGATGCACAACCATGTGAATGTACTTAATGCCACTGAATTGTACACTTAAAAAATGGCTAAAATGGTAAACTTTATGTTATGTATCTTTTACCACACACACACACGCTGACACCTAGTGCCAAATTATTCTCCAGAAAATGAGTTCACACTCTCTCTGCACTATCACAGGACCAGTCTTTTAATTCTTTGCCAATTTGATCTGTAGGCGGGAAAAATGTCATCCCAAATGATCAGTTTATCAACCTCCAGGCCAGTGGTTTAAAACAGATAATCAGCATGCGTTCTCAACGGACCAAGACATTGGGAGAAAAACATTAGTGATAAAGTCATTTTAATTCTGGTTCTTAATACTGCAAATGGAACTTCAGCCAAGGTCCTGGGATTTTTCTGCATGAGATACGAAGGCAAAAAAAAAAAAAATTATGGGGACTACAGTGCGATCTTATAATTCTAATTTTTGGGTAAAGCTGTTTCCTCCAGACACAGAAATAGCCCACCGGGACGACCCGACCCAGACACCAGCCTCACCCTCGGGGTCTAACGCTACGGACCTAGGTCTGTCCCTGGAGAGTAAAGGGCGGGACCAGAGGTGGCACGCATGCGCCAAAGTCCTCGGCCGGGGAGTGGCCGCTCTGGGCAGCGGGGAGGTCGCGGGGTTGAGAGGATTGGGAGAAGAGTGAGGTTTCTCCTCTATGGTCGCGGGCCCGGGCCTCGCTTCTCCTCAGTCAGTCCTCTGCTATTTCCGGAAGTGAAGTGGCCGCCTTCTCCTCTGCTTCCGCGGGGGTCCGGGAGGCGGCCGGCGGCCGGCGGCCGGGTGGGCCCGAAGGGAGCCGAATGGTAAGCCCCCGCCTGGCGGGGGAGGGCATGGGGGAGGCCCGGGCTCGATTTCGGGGCGGCGTGTGGAAGACGGCTGTGGGGGACGGGTCAGAGAAGGTGCGCAGGGCTCCCCACCCAGGCCCGGGTCTGAGAAGCCACGGTCCCGGCCACGGGGCGCGGACCCCCGGGTGGCCAACTTCCCCCGTCCCTTCCCGAGAGCACGACGTCGGCACGGCCGGCCGCTGGGCCTCGCCTGCGCCCCCTCGGGGGTCCGGGTCAGAGCCGGGCGCTCCAGGACCTCCCCGGGGCGGGCGGGAGGGGGTGTCGCTTCCATACACCTTGGAGGGGGGACGAAGAGACGCTCGCGCCGCAGGAGCCCCTGACGCAGCCTGTGGCTGGCTGCGCGTTCAGAATTGATCAGGCTCCTGGTAGACTGAGCTTCGGGTCTGATGGGCGAGGCAGTTCCTGCCCCAAAGCGGAACGATTGCTCCCGTTGTAAAACCGGGTAACGACGCGCACAAAAGGGACAGTGAAATCCCAAAAGCCGCCCTGGGGTTAGGCTAGACCCCAGCTCTTGGGGTTCCGTGCTCATGGCTCCTAATGGGAACTTGTGCAAAAGGGGAGTTTTCTTTAAAAGAAAAAATAAAAAGGGGTAAATGAGAATCAGGTTGTGTCTAACGGAGGATATTTGGCGGGGCAGGAGGCGGCCCTGTCAGTGCCCAGGGCGGCTGCCCCCCAACTTTGACGAAGTGGAGAAAGAGCCCAAACGCTGTCATGCCCTGAGCTGTCGCCGTTGGGTCCTCCCCGCTAAAGCCCATTGGTCGGTCCTTTGGGGGGGTGGTCTTGATGTCACCCTCGGAAAGGCCAATAGGAAGAAGGTTTACTCTCTCCTCCGGGCACACCCCAGAGCCGGCACAGCGTGCACGTGCCGAGATAGATGGTTTGGTTTGTTCTTGTCGGGGCTGTTTTGTAAACAGCCAGTCTGGGTGTCTGATGTGTTCTGCGTTTCCCTGCCTGTCTCCATAAACGTGTTGGAAAAACTGCTCTAGTGCTTCGCGCTAATGCTACTAAGTCTTATTATTCAATAGACTCTTTTGAGTACCTATGGATAGAGTTTGTCATTTAAACCTCCTTCAGAGTAGATACTATTATCTTGAACTTATGAATGGGAAATAGAGGCTCAGGGAGAATAAATGTGACCTGTTTGGAACCCACGTCTTTCTGTTCCTAAGAACATAACGTTTTAAGTATACAAGCCTCTCCAGGGAAATTACAGTCTGGGAGGTGAAGAAACATACACAAATAAGTGTTATATTAATGCACAGAGGCAGGAAGGGTTAATTTGGACGTGAGGAGAATTACTCATTAAAGACTTTCAAGTGACGGGATTTGGATCTTGTCCTTTGAACACTTTTGACCCAGTGATGGTGTGGAGCTGCATTACAGATGATGGGAACAGTGTGATATGGAAAGATGCCCAAGGAGCAGGAATTAAGAGATGGGACCAAAGTGTCGTCTGTGACTAGATGAGTAGTAGGAGATAATCATCATTAATAGTAATAGCTAACATTTATGTTGCCCTTATGTGCTGGGCACGATTCTGAGTGTGGTGCATATATCCATTTAATCCTATCAACACCCCTATCAGTAATGTGGCATTAATATCCCCATTTGACAGATGAGGAAACTGAAGCACAGAGATTAAGTGACTTGCCTGAGGTCCCACTATGAATTGGTGGAGCTGGGATTTGAAACTAGTCATTCTGGCTGCAGACTTTGTGCTCTTATTAAAAAGTTGTGTTGGGGCTTCTAGGTGGCTCAGTCCATAGAGCATGAGATGCTTGATCTCAAGGTCATGAGTTCAAGCCCCACCATCGGCGTGTAGCCTACTTTAGGGAAAAAAAAAAAAACCTCATTAAAAAGTTGCGTTGATTTGTTATCGGGCCATAAAGATTCTTAAATGACAGGCTTATAATATGAGCTTTAATTTCTTATGGTCAAGAAGGTTTTGAGCAAAGGAACTGTTGGATTAGAACTTTGCTCCAGGAGGATGATTCAGGCATTGGACAGAGGAGGTACTGGAGAGAAGAGGAAATGAGATTAGAAGTGTTTTATTTTTTGCTCACACCTTACCCATACCTTGTCTGAAACATATATTTAGGTATATACATTTATTTATTAGTATGTAACAGCTCTCTAGTCCCCAAACCTCTGTTTGCATAAGAATCTCCTAAGGGGCTTGTTGAAAATGTAGGTTCCTGGGCCTCTCTCTCAGACACCCTTATTCAGGTTCACCAAACTTCCAGGTGTTTCTGTCAGATGTTCTAAAGAAGTTACTGTCATAGGGAGTCAGATACATGTTGATTTGATTTTCATCTACAAATATCCAGAACCCATCTTTGTGCCAGCTTCTTTAGGAACAATGTTAGAATTCTGTGGCTTCATACCTGATCTCAAGGAGCTCAGGATTTGATTTGGAGAGGCAAAGACTGCTCAAACTGAGATAATTGAAGTATGCTTGCTAACCAGTATTTTTATCACAAGTTACTGGACATCTACAGCATTTAACACAGGACAGGTTGTTGAGTATATGTGACATAACAGAAACGAAAGCGGACAGTCTCACGGAGAGCCAGGACACCTGTCTAGTGTGTTCTCTTGCCCAGCACCACTAAGGAGCAATAAATCTTGTGGCCTCAAAGTTCAGGCAGCAAGTCAACCTCCTGTGAGCTAGCTAGCTACCTTTGCCCTAGTAATTTCTGACTCCTTCCAAAAAGAAAGTTTGTCTAGGGGCGCCTGGGTGGCTCAGTCGTTAAGCGTCTGCCTTTGACTCAGGTCATGATCCCGGGGTCCTGGGATCGAGCCCCAACATCGGGCTCCCTGCTCAGCAGGAAGCCTGCTTCTCCCTCTCCCACTCCCCCTGCTTGTGTTCCTTCTCTCGCTGTCTCTCTCTCTGTCAAATAAATAAATAAAATCTTAAAAAAAAAAGAAAAAAAAGAATGTCTATTTGGACAAGAGTTGGTAAGAGCCCAGAAATGCTTCTCTTGTATTAATGAAAGCCAATTTCTGCCACCTACAAGAAATGCACATAATATTTTCTCTTTATTGCCATTTCTGACCCTTGCCTTGCTTACATTTGGGCACATTTCTTTTTATTTCATAGTCACTAGATGTGTGCAGTCACTCTTTGGACATTTAAAATGTCTGCAGTATTCTATCAGTGTTTATAGTGTTGTCCCCAGAAGGAGACCTGTGGTGCCAAAAATAGGCATCGCTATTTTTCTTTTTTTTTTTTTTTTTTAAGGTTGTTTATTTATTTAAGTGATCTCTACACCCATCATGGGGCTGGAACTCATGATCCTGAGATCAGGAGTCACATGTTCTTCCGACTGAGCAAGCCAGGCACCCCCTCACCCCTGTTTCTGTTGTAACTGTTCCTGCTTATTTATCTCATGGAAACCCATGCTCACCCTAACAATCATAAGCTGGAGTTTATGTTCCAAAATGCAGTGTTGTCATATCCTAGTTTATTTCCTTCAGTTTGGACTTCTCAACTTCATAGTAGCAGCATAAAGGAGCAAATTAGTCCTTTGATCCATTAGCTATTACTGATTACCGTGTTGGAATAATGTAGTGTTATGAGGTCAGGCTTTAACTCAGACCATGATTCAACACCTGGCTCTGCCCTGTATTAATGAGGCCTCCATTTTCTCTTCTGTAAAATGGAGATGAGCATAATAATTATCTCATAGGGCGCCTGGGTGGCTCAGTTGGTTAAGCGACTGCCTTCGGCTCAGGTCGTGATCCTGGAGTCCCGGGATCGAGACCCACATCGCGCTCCCTGCTCAGCTGGGGGTCTGCTTCTCCCTCTGACCCTCTTCCCTCTTGTGCTCTCTGTCTCTCATTCTCTCTCTCAAATAAATAAATAAAATCTTTAAAAAAAATAATAATTATCTCATAGGATTACCTTTCACATTATAGGGACTCAGTAAATACTAGCAATTGTCATTAATCTTTGTTGTCAAGTAATATGTAATGAAAAGAAATAAATAGCCTAATTAAAGGCCCATATAAAGCCAGAATGTTTGTATTCTTGCAGTGAAACATCTTTGCTAAGTAATGATTGAGATCATATTTTCAGGCTGCAATCCAATAAATTAGCCCTCCAAAGGATTATTCCTAAAACGTTAGGTATGTACTGTCGTCACAATTAATGTTTTGTTGAATAAACAGGTAGAACTGTAATTATATACCACTGAACAAAGCAGTTTGAGGATTATAACTTCTCAAGAGTTAACAATTGTTATGTGAAATCTTTATAAGCTAAGGTATAAAAATTCTCCACTTAAACTCAGAATTAATGGATTCTTTTTTTATAAATTCAATGCAAATTATTGTATTAATTGCTGTTGGGGTGACTAAGGGATCGAACAGGTGACAACAGTGTTCCCTCCTCCTTCCAGAGAGTAGCCCTCTAGATGAATCCGCAGATAAGTACTTGACCAAGTCAAACAGTTGTCCTTCCACAGGAGCAGTAGCAAAGTTCCTTCAGGTTCTTTAATCGGCCAGAATAATTGGGAGACTATTTGTATCCCAGCCCTTTTTCTTCCTTCATAGAGTTTTCAGATAACTATAGCCTGTCTGTTAGGTGTTTTTTTGGCGAAACACAGAAAAGGTTACAGTGATAGAGATCTTGGAATTGCCCAAGTAATCAAACTGTGATTATTGTTTCCTATCAGTTGTGCCAACAGATCATGCCCATGAACATTTTAGAAAAGGTCAACTGTACAGTTTGTTCATGTCATATTTCACATATTCATGTTTTCTAAAACTTTATGCCGTTTCTTGACACTGAAATTTTAGAGATGGTATTTTCCTCAGGAAGTAATGTCTTTCCAGGTGTTTTAAAAGTTACATTGGTGAGATGTCAGAACAAGTTGTTGATTATATGGCATGAGCATGAGAACAACTTTTGAGATTCCTCACTTACACGGTTTGAGAAGTGTCACACACCTGGACGT